AGTTGAATAAGGATGTGGTGGGAATCACCACCCCTGCATCCTTCAAGTCCTTGATGGTGGAAGTAATCTCTGCAATCCCTCCAGGAATGCAGTATTGCTTTTGGTTTACTATTTTCCTAGGTAGGGGAAGTTCTAGTGGCTTCCACTTGTCTTTTCCTACCATAAAAGCCCTTACTTCACTTGTCAGGGATCCAATATGGGTGTTCTGCCCTGTTGCTGACTATATCTATTCCAATTATGCATTCTGAAACTGGGGAAATCACTACAAGATGGGTTCAGAGGACCACTGGACATACTGTGAGATGAACCTGAGCTAAGACTCCATTAATAACTGACCTCCATATGTCCCCACTCTGACTGGTAGGCCACAGTGACGTTTTGAGTCTTCTGGAATTAGTGTCAGTTCAGAGCCAGTATGGAGTAACCCCCCAAAAGTCTGATTATTTCCTTTTGCCCAATGAGCAGTCAGTCTCATAAAAGGCCGTAGATCCCATTGGGGAAGGCTGGGAGAAAGATTAACGGTATAAATTTTTGTCAGTGTAGTGAGGTCCTCTTTCAAGGGGACTCAGCCTCCCCTTCATTCAAGGAGTTGTGGCTGTTTAAACTGACTCAAGTCTGGGAATTGACTGAGGGGCTATGACTCTATGTTTTGGCAATTCAAGTTAGACTGCTGTTCACTTGACCTAGAATTCTTCAGCTTGTACAGATCAAGTAAATATTTAGCAGATTTTCCACCTATTTGACTCCTAGGGATACCATGACTAAGTAGCCAACGCCATAAGTCCATACACATCAGACTATTCTGATTACTGCTTTGGTTCCACTGTCCATTACGGTAACCATGCCCATCTTGTCTTTGTCCATTGAGTGCTGCCACATGGACCCTACCACCACAGTGTCCAATCAGCCCCATTGTAGTTAGGTGTCTTAATTCAGTTAGGGCAGCTCCCACTGTCAAATCTGACTTATTTTATAGCAATTAGAGCAGTACTCAAGGATGCTTGGGCTCCATTCACAAATTTGTTCATTACTGTTGTGGTAAAAGGTGTGTTCTCTGGGTACTCCATGTGTGGGTCCTTGAGTCTAACCTGATCAATCCACTCTAACATGCCAATTTCCCTAAGCCTTTGGATACCTTCTTCTACAGTACACCAATGCAGGTCTGGTACTTCAACTTGATTTAGTGTAGGCTACCGTGTAATCCATGCTTCAGTGAACCAACCAAATAAAACTACCAGATCCTTTCCTAACCTCTCAAGCTGAAACACTGAATCTGTCCTTAGTGGGCCCATCAATAAACTCAGACTGATCCAATTTTATGTTCCTTGCACCATTATCCCACACCCTTAATAGCCATTCCCGCACATATTCCCCAAGTTTTTGTTTGTACATATTAGAAAAGCCAAGCAGTTCTTTCGTAGTGTTGTGTACCTTCTCCTGGGTCACACTTGTACTTTACCTTTTGGGGCTTACTGGGACTTAAGTCTACTTATAGGTCTAGAAGCAAAAATGGGCGGTGGGGATGTAGTTTGAGAACATTCAGCAATATCTTGTAAGGCATCTGCCTTACTCGATACCCCAGGCAATGACTCAGATGCCTCCCCAGGCAGTATCTCAGACAAAGGCTCTTCAGACGCAGTTGGGTTAATCTCATCAGATGGGGGAGGAGAGGCTAATGGTTTTGTTGGCAGAAGTGATTCAATGCAATTTAGGGGCTCAATGTCCCCAGCTTCCTGATTATCTGCCCATATGTCCCCATCCCAAGTTTCAGGGTCCCGTTTTTTTCCCAATCAATGTCCTTATTTTGACTTCAGACACCATTCAAGGTCAGGAACTCAACTGGCATTGTAATTCAGCCACTCTTATGAGAAGACTCTGGGTGTGGTTTCCATCAATATCAGCTCTGTTACTACATGAAATAAGGCTTTATTTCAGGGCACAAGTGGCAATTTTGAGGTCATTTATGTGGTGCTGGAATTTTGACTCTGAAGCCTTGAGTTCATCTCTTTCTTTCACCACTTTGTCTAGTGAAAGTAGGACCAACCAAGCAGCTTTCTTATACTTCTCATTAAGACAAAACTGTAGAAAAGTATCAACCATGCAGTTACCCAGAGCCTCGTCTCTCACCAATACTTGATCTACTGGTGGTGACATTTTGCATATTTCCATTGCTGCCTCACTCCATGAATTAGCAGTGACCTCTTTACTACTGGAAGCAGAGTCACCAATCAACATCTTTAAGACTAACCAGACTTGAGAATCTATTTAGAAACTCATCCTTACAATTTTGTTTCTCTAGAACCACTCCCAGTACCTAATCTCTTAGGCTGGGTTCTCTAGAGAAGCAAAACCAGTGAAGTGAATATATATAGAGAGAGAGAGAAAGAGAGAGAGATTTATATCAGGGAAATGGCTCACGTGGTTGCAGAGGCTTGAAAGTCCCAAGTCCACACGTCAGGTATCAGGCTGGAGGCTTTTCCTCAAGCATGAAGCTGCAGGGGCTGACAAACCTAAGATCGGCAGATCAGAAGGAAGGCTGCAGGCTCACGGGCTGCAGAGGCTGATGAACTCAAGATCAGCAGGTAAATCGATAGGCGTCTGGCTCAAGTTCCAAGAACCGGAGGTCAGATGATGATGAGCCAAATGCAGGATCCAGAGCAGAGTGAAAGCCAGCGAGCTTTGCCAGAAAGTCCATATATATTGGATGCAGGGCACACACCCAAGGAAACTCCCTTTCAACTGCTTGACTGCTCACAGCAGATCTCATCATGGAGGTGATTACATTATATCAGATCTCACGAGAGATGATTACATCATTACATAACTGCCAAACTACATCGTAACTGCCAAACCACTGAGAATCATGGTCCAGCAAACGTGACACACAGCTTTAGCCATCACATTCAACAACACCATAATTCAGAGGAATCAATTCTTCTTTGCTCCTCCTTATTCACTATGCAGCTTTCACGTGCATATGAAGCAGTGAAAAATACCATGGCTTGGGTCAGGCACACTTTAGTCATCAAAGTGATATCTTTGCTTTTTAACACTTTAAAGAGGTCTTTTGCAGCAAATTTGTCCAATGTAATACGTCATTTGATTTCTTGACTGCTGCTTCTATGGAGGTTGATTGTGGATGCCAGTAAAACAAAATCCTTGACAACTTCAATATTTTCTTCCTTTATCATGATGTTCCTTATTGGTCCAGTTGTAAAGATTTTTGTTTTCTTTTTGTTGAGGTGTAATCTATACTGAAGGCTGTAGTCTTTGATCTTCATCAGTAAGTGCTTCAAGTCCTCTTCACTTTCAACAAGCAAGGTTGTGTCATCTGTACAGCGCAGGCTGTTAGTCTTCTTCCAATCCTGATGCCATGTTCTTCTTCATATAGTCCAGCTTCTTGGGTTATTTGCTCAGCATACAGATTGAATAAGTATGGTGAAAGGACACAACCTTGACGCACACCTTTCCTAATCTGAAATCACGCAGTATCCCCTTGTTCTGTTCAAATGACTGCCGCTTGGTCTATGTACAGACTCTGCATGAGCACAATTAAGTGTCCTGGAATTCCTGTTCTTCTCAATGTTATCCATAACTTGTTATGAGTCACACAGTTATATGCCTTTGCATAGTCAATAAAACATAGGTAAACATCTTTCTGGTTTTCTCTGCTTTCAGTCAAGATTCATCTGACGTCAGCAATGATATCCCTCCTTCCATGTCTTCGTCTGAATCTGGCTTGAATTTCTGGCAGTTCCCTGTCGACGTATTGCTGCAACCGTTTTTAAATTATCTAGGTGACTAGGCCCACTGAAACCAGAAAGGCTGGTTTCATTATTCATTAACTTTTGCTTAAAACTCAGAAAACAATCAAAATTAATAAACAGATTCTGTTTTCAAGCTTAATAAACATATTCTGTTTTCAAAACTAATGAACATATTCTCTGTTTTCAAGACTGATGAAAATGTCCTGCTTTCAAAACTAGGGGTCTTGTAACCAAGACTCATTGATCTTGTGATTGTATAGTAACTGTTTAGCAAAGTTAACATAAATGTGAACCAATCAGAAATTTTGTTCAAAAGGTCCTGATAACAAAACAATCCTAACTAATGGTCAGAAAACCCTGGTAGCGTAGTGGTTAAGTGCTATGGCTGCTAACCATAAGGTTGGCAGTTCAAATCCACCAGGTGCTCTTTGGAAACGCTATGGGACAGCTCTACTCTGTCCTATAGGGTCACTATGAGTCAGAATCGACCCGATGGCAACGGGATTTTTAACTAATGGTCAGGACTAATGGTGTCCGGAGTTGTTTATTTTTTTAACAATAGTAAGAAGTACAGTCTTGGCATGGAACCAGAACCCCAGCTCAGCTAGGGTGGATGCTCTGAAGATGCTGGGATACAGCTGATGCATATGACCTGCCTGCGGGAGGCCTGGCTCAGCCAACAAGCTGCTGTCGCCATCTTGACATTCTTAACACCTTTGCACAAGGGCCACGTGTCCATTTTGCATGAGGCCCTGGACATCTGTTCCTGTTCCCCTGGTGGAGTCGGTCAGGGACCTGACCCCTGGTTTTCTGTGGGTAAGGGATGGGCCTCTGGGAACACTGGCCTTCCCAATGGGCTCTTTTGGGCTGTGCCCTAGGATTTTAGAGAAACCACCCTCCCCAGGAACCACCCTGAGGCAGCCCCAGGGTGCTCTCTACAGCAATCCCAGGGTACCCCTCTCCAGCCCCAGATGTTCCCCAGCCCTGTTCTTGGACACTCTCCACATCCCCAGCCTCAGAGCACCCCCACCCAAGTCCCTCAGCCTCAGTGCTGTCTCCCCACCCCGGTCTCAGGGTTCCCCCACCCCATTTCCCATGATACCTTCACCCCAGACCCAGGGTGCCTCCACGTGGGTCCTAGTGTGCCCCTATCCCAGCCTCAGAGCGACCCCACCCAGTCCCCCAGCATCAGGGCTGTGTCTTCGCCCAGTGCACAGGCTGCAGCGAGGTTACCTGGAACTTGTCGGGGTCGGCCCCTCCAGCCTGACCCACAAAGATGCCGGCACCGGGCTCCAGCTCCAGGCCCCCCGGGGCCCGTTGGAAGGGCAGCCTCTGGACCTCCTCGCAGTCCACATAGAGCGCCACGGTGCTGCCGTCCACGCTGAGCGCGAAACGGGTCCATTGGCGGGCGAATGAGGGCAGGCGAAAGCTGGCTGCCATGCGGGTGCGCCCCGCACCTGGCTCCGTGTACAGGAGCTGGATCTGCTGCTGCCCATCTTGCACGTGCGAGAGCTTCACACCCACGCGAACCTCCATCTGGGCCGCATCTGTGATGGCGAAGAGCACGCCCGCACCCTCCGTGGCCGGCTTCACATGGAAGAACAGGGAGAAGTCCTGGAAGAAGGGGCTGGGCACATGGTAGCGGGCCACTTGGCCACTGTTGGCGTCCGGGCCGAAGGTGTAGGCCAGGCCAATGTCGGGGTCCTCAATCTGGGTGACCTGTGGGGGCGGGGGCTCCCCGAGGAGCTGCAGGAGCCCCACCTCTTCTGCGCCAGCACTCTCTGAAAGAGGAGAGATGTGGGTGAGGTTGAGGCACCCCAGTACCATGGGAAGACAGACAGGAGGGGGAAGGGAGGCCAGGGCACCCCGGCACTGTGGGGAGACAGGCAGGAGGGGGGAGGGAGGCCAGGGCTCCCCGGCACTGTGGGGAGGCAGATAGGAGGAGGGAGGGAGGGGAGGGCACCCCGGCACTGTGGGGAGACAGGCAGGGGAAATCAAGCTGAGGAGGGCTGGCCAATCTGCCATCTGGTCCCATCTGCATCCTTTGTGCAGAAAGCTGTCATGGGCACCGATGAGGCTATCCCAGGCATTGCATCAGGGCAGGGGCATGGCAACCACAGGCCACTGCACCTTGGGGACCCTCAGGGAGCTCAGAGGCCAAAGAGAGTCCCACAACAAAGAGACTGTCACAGCTGGTGTGGTGCGGAGAGTAAGGAAGGGCCGCCTCCCTGGACAGGGCTGCGAGGCACTGACGTCTCCATCAGAGCAAGGGTACCACCACATGTGTGCTGGGGGCGCAGAGCCAGCCCTGCCCCACACTGGCCCTTTAGTGCCCCTCACACCTGAGAGCCTTCGGGCAGGAGGCTTGCTGGTGGAGTGGAGTGCCCCGGGCACTTATTGGCAGAGCTAAAGAGCTTTGTAACACTTGCCCAAGCAGGGCAGAGGCCAGGCCAAGGGGCCAAGAGAGAGGCCTGTCTGAGGGCACTGTTGAGAAACGTCTGTCCCGGTGGAAGAACTGTATCCTGAGTCATTCCCAGTTTTGAATTGTAACCTGTTAGTTCCCTAATAAACCCCATAGCTGTGGGTATGGTCTGTGAGTTCTGTGTGGCCATTGCAATGGATTATCTGAATCCAGCAGAGAAGTAGAGAGCGCTGTGGGAGGGACGGCTGATGTCAGAATTGGTAAAAAGTTTGGAGAGAGGAGGTATGTCTGATCTCCATCTCAAGGGAGTCAGCCATGGCCTGGTGATCTTCATTCTCCCCCCCTCGTGAAGTTAGACGAGGAAGTGAGACAATGCTGCCGCCATGCCATTTTTACAACCTGTGACCTTATTTGGAGAAAGAGGGTCTTTCTTTGCAGATGTTATCAGTGACTCAAACCAGAGCAGGGTGGGCCCTAAGCCTAATTCCTTCTGAGTGGTGTCTTGCAAAACGGGAAGACAGACATGCACAGAGAACACGGATGCTAAGTGAAGATACAGCTACAAGCCAAGGAATGCGTAGGACCATCGGGAGCCCCGGTAAGCTGGGGAACAGGCCTGGAACAGATTCTCCCCCAGAGCCTCAGAAGGAGCCAACAGCTGGATCTCGGACTCCCAGACTCCAGAACTGGGAGACAATAAATCTCTGTTCTTTAAAGCCCCCACTTTCGGTGGTATCTGTTGCAGCAGCCCCCGGGGTGCTCAGACACAGCTGAGCTGGGAGATCCTCTCTCTCCTAAACCGACTAGAATTCACATGCCCAGCGGGGCCCCACAGGTCCCAGGAAATCCTCCTTTCTTGGTGGGCTTAGCTGCTTCCTCTCAGTACCCACAGGATCACGGTGGGTCCCTTGTTCTCCCATCACAGCTGAGCGGGACGCACTCCTCATAAGGACGCCCACGCACGCCGGCTCCAAGTCACTCTGACTTCCCACCTCAGGTGCCGCTGGAAAGGGAGGCTGGCCAGCTGCAAACTGACATCAGCCCCATGGGAGGCCGGCCTGGCCACAGGCTGTCTCCCCCGCCCACAGGAGCAAGGGGACCTTACACGACGCCTCTGTACGCAGGGAGACCAGTGGTGACTTTGTGCTCACAGATGCCACTGTCCACTGTGATGGTGGCTGTCACGACAGGGCCCCTTGTTCGGAAGCGACTGGCCCCCAGTGTCCACCTGAGACGGACCCTCTAAGGGTTAGGACATGGGACTACCCTACCGGCTTAAGCGCTAGTGACCTGGTGTCACAACTAGTCTCCCTGATCTAAAACACGGATACGCCTGCCACTGCCCCTTCTCTGGAGCAGCCAGAACGTTTCCAAACAAAACGACAAGCCAGGACGCAGCTGCCATCGGCTTCCTGGGCGGCTGGGAACACTGTATGTCACGGGGCAGCCAGAGACCCCAGACACAGAATGGACTACTCCCAACATTCCCACTTCCTCCCCACGAAGCTCCCTGTGGTTTCCTCCTCGGCCCCTGGACCACCAGCTCCCTCTCCAGAGGCTCCGTGAGCAGAAGACATCCCCCTCCCCGATGCCCCGACAGCACAGCCATGACTGAAGCAGTAGCCCAGCCGTCCTGGAAACAGCCCTCCCTCCAAACACCAAGCACTGTGCCGTGCCGTCCTGAGCACCGATCCGTCTCCAAACACTGAGTGCCATGTCCTCCTGGACACTGACCTCCCTCCAAATACCGAGCGCCACGCACTGCTCCAGGCGCTCTGAGGATGCTCCTGGGAACTTGAGGGGATGAGCCTGTGGCAAGCCGAGCCCCTCCTGTCAACCCAGACTGTGCTCAGGCCACAAAATTGGGACATGTGGAGCTGAAGACTATCACCCCTTCACCAAGCAGACCAGTGGAGGCGTGGATGATTCTGGAACTCCTGTATGTTTGACAATGCCAAGGACAAAATGCCCCACGTTAGCACCATTGGAACAGGTGAGAACACCTGAGCCCTGGGGTTCTCTCACCTCTGCTCTCTGCCAGGAGGCCTGCGCGGAAACCCGGGCAGGGAGAATGGGCGTGCAGGCGAGCACGGTTCTTGGCATCTCTGAGTGAATGGAAACCACTGACCCCCCCAGCTCCTGGGAGCTCGGCAGGGATGGGGTGTGGGCAGTGTGATGCCATCCAGCACCCTCCCCTGGTGGCTGCTTCTCACCAGAGCCCCGGAAGGCCCTGCACTGCAGGCTCAGTGCCCCGATGTGAGAGAGAGGACAGAGTCAGTGGGGACAGGGCCTGCAGCCAGCCTGTCCCATGGTCCTTGCCAATGGCCCCTTTTGCTCCAGAAGAGTGACCTTCACACTCGACACCTCATTCTGCCACCACCTGGTTGGGTTAGATTAGGGGGCTGCTCCATGTCTGCCTGTGAGTCCCCAGACCCCAGAAAATGCCCTCAATGTGACCATGAGTGTGGGGAAAGATGGCTTAACTTTGGGAAACTGGCCAGCAGGACGGACACAGAATGAGACCACAGAGGTTTCAACCATGAGCACAGGCCGGCCTCCCATGAAAGCCGCCCGCCCGGGACCTGCTGTCTGAACACCTCCCGGGACGGGTGTTCCGTCCTTCCCGAGCCAGGTTGCTGTCCCCGGGCAGCGTCCCGTCACAGCCCTGCCCCTCCACTGGCCACACGCCAGCATCCGGCATCCCTGACCACCACTGCAGCCAGTGGACACCATGCACTCTGGACACCATGTGCCCCGAACACCGTGTTTTGGATACCACCCCCCCGCCACCGATACTATGTACTCACAACACTGTGCGCCCCGGACAGCTGCAGACACTGCGCGCCTGCAGACACCACGCCCCACCCTGGTGCCCCAAGACACTGCGCACCCTTGCGCGACCCGCAGACACCTGCATGCAGCCCCAAGCTGCCCCCAGGCTGCTCCCCAGAACCAGCCTGCCAACCAGACTCCTCTTTGGATGCGACCTGGGGCCTGGGCCTCTCTGAGAGTGTCTGCTTCACCCACAGACCCCTGGAAGCGCTTGCCGAGGACTGAGAACCAACCCCGCCCTCACGGGCTGCTCTGTCCTGACCAGGGACCTGTCACAGCCCCATAGAACAGACGTCTCTGCTCCTGAATGAATCTGGTGAACCAGAACCACCGGGTGTATTTTAAGTTAATCAGGCAACTTCCAAGCCAGCGCGTGGGGTGGAAGGGACTCCAAGGAATGGGATTCGATGCTCGACTGCAAATTGAAACAACTCACACAGACAGCAGATCTTAGACTTAAGTTGCTGCTCGAGACAGGGTTGGCTCCATGAGCACCACCCTCCCACCTCCATGTGGGGCTGCACAGAATCGACACACTCGGCAGCAGAGGCCACGGTCAGCCAGGCCAAGAGCAGGCGGTGGCAGCCCAGGCTGGGTCCTACCCTGGGGGGCCAGGGAGCCGCCACAGGGCTTGGCTGCAGGGCCAGGGACCAGGAACAGGATCTCACAGCCTCCCGCACAGGACTGTCCACGCTGCCACTGGGGTCTCAGAAGCGTGCCCGTGAGAGCTGCACTGTGCCCCCCACCCTGCTCCCTGCTTGGCAGACCGGTGCAAGCTGAGCGGTCCCAGGAGAAGCTCTGAGCAGCTTTCCCCAGGCCTGAGCGGTTCTGCTCCATGTTCGGTGGAATGATGTCTCCGGGGACAGTTTTGTGAAACTGAGCCCGTTGTTTGGAAACCTCTTAGGGAAACCACCCAGTACTCTCTCTGTTTTGAGACAGATTCAGAGACCTCATGGAATTAGAAGTCACAACCAATCCAGAAAAAGAGAAAAAAAAAAAAAAGTCCTAAGTCCGGGTCAGTAGAGTGGTAACAAGGGAGGGCAGGGCGGTTTCAGCGATCACCACGCACAGGAAATTCCACTCTGGAAGAGCTGGGCAGCGCGCAGATGCAAGCAACACAAGCCGCATAGATCAACATGACAAAGGACAAGCAGATAACATCTACTGATACGTTGTCCAAAAACTGTGGTTAAAGTGACATTAAAAGGTTAAAAACAAAAGGATGGGAAAGTATCAGACACACCAGAAGTCTGCTTTAAACCAAACAATAATTTAGCTTATTTAGTAAAGAAATGTCTGCCTTGAGCATCATGCTCTTTTAAAGAGCTATCTGTATGGGATCAAGCTGACAACAGCAACCGGACAGATGAGATAGGAGGCTGAGGGGGCAGTGAGTTTATGATAACGAACCCACTTCCACAGAGCTGATTCTGACTCAGAGCGACCTTATAGGACAGAGCAGAACTGCCCCAGAGGCCTTCCAAGGCTGTAAATCTTTACGGAAGCTGACGGACAGTTGCATCTTTCTCTTGCAGAGCAGTTGGTGGGTTTGAACTTCAGCCCTTTGGGTTAACAGCCAAGTGCTTAAACCACTGCACCACCAGGGCTGTGATCAATGTCCCTGAATGGTACATGCGGAAACTGTTGAATTGATGTATGTTCTGCTGTGTAAATTTTCAATAAGAACAAAAATTTTTTTTTTTTTTAAATCAGACAAAAGTAAGCAAACAGGGCAACATTCCACCCCATCTGTCAGTTTGTCACACTGTGGTGGCTTTCATGTGGCCATGATGCTGGGAGCTGTGTCACTGGTATTTCAAATACCAGCAGTCACCCATGGTGCACAGGTTTCAGCAGAACTTCCAGACTAAGACCAGGAAGAAAGCCCTAGCAATCTACTTCCGAAAATTAGCCAGTGAGAATCCTATGGAGCAAGATAGAAGATTGTCCGATACAGTACTGGGAGATGAGTCCCCCAGGTTGGAGGACACTCAAAATATACAGTGGCCACGACAAACGGACTCGAGCACAATGATGGTGAAGATGGTGCAGGACCGGGCGCCATTTTGTTCTGTTGTACATGTGGTCGCCGTGAGTCAGAGCCCACTGGACGGCAGCTAAGAACAATTGCAACATTAATATCAGATAAAACAGTTTACCTGTTGAAAACCATTAAGTGGGACAGAGAACATGGTACATACTGATGTGACTAGCCAGGTGCCATTGACATGACCCTAATGACAGGGTCCAGAACAGACATAGCAACAACGGGAGAAACTTCTCACTCCTAACGACAGACTCCGAGATACCCCTCTCAGCACAGTTTCCTCTTAGAATTAAAAATAATCACTCCAGTAAAATCTACATAAAAGAAACTTCCTGAACCTAGTAAGCTTATAAGAATATCCCATCACTGTCGCTTTATTATACAGTAGCAATTACGAAGTCCAAAATGCTGAAAGGGGGAGAACGTAATTCCAGTAACAAAGAGAAAGATAAACTGGGAACAAACATTTCAAGAAATGTCCAAGATCGTAAAACTTTACTAAAAGATTAAAAAACAACCTAAGTAAATCGAGAGACTTACCACATCACTGGGTGGAGACTGAATATTGAGCTGGTGATACGTCTATATTATCTATAATAATAATGTATAATAATCTATACATTCAATGCTACCCATTCTAAGCCTCAGGGGGATATTCCTGATGATCCAGAAGAGAAAATGCCCACGGAGGGCCAGTGCACTTTTGAAGAAGATTCTGAATTCCCTGAGTGAGGGGACTATACCTGATCGCAATGCTCCCAGCACCCAAACCAGGGCCACAAGGGGTGGGGATAATTGGCCAATATTGCTTAATTAACAAGATGTGAATAAGCCATGAATCAACAAAGACGGATGGATGTGGGGTGCTATTATAGCATTGTCTGTTACAAAGAGAAGCTGGAAACACCTGAAGGTCCATCAGTGTGGAGAAGTTAAAGAAAGTACCAGAACCACACAGCTGTAAAAAGAGCAAGAGTGGTTTACCTGTAGTGACATCTGGGGATCCCTGAGACACACCGTGAAGAGAAAAGAGCAACTTTCACACCCACAGGGTATAATCCCACTTATGCAAAAAAAGAAACACATGTGCGTATCCGTTCCTGTACATGCACACATGCATATGCACATCCATACACACATAATGCACACCCACACACGCACGCATATGCTGGTGCACACATACATGCACACACATATACTGTGGTCAGCAGAATAGTGGCCCCCAAAGATGTCCACATCCTAAACCCCCAGAACCTGTGAATATGTTACTTTACATGGCAAAGAGGACTCTGAAAATATGGTTACGGTTATGAACTTTGAGATGGGGCGGTTACTCTGGATTATCCAGGTGGGCCCAATCTAATCACATTAGCCCTTAAAAATGGAGAACCCCTCCCAGCTGGGATCAAGGAAAGAGTTGTGATGACAGTAGCAGAAAACCAGAGAGATGGAATGTGAGGAGGACTTGGCCTGAACAAACTGCATAAAGTATTTCATGTAATGATCTCATTCTCACTTCATAAGCCTGGTCCCTGGCTGGCTGGCTGGATGGATGTTGGGTGGCTAGATGGCTGATGGGTGGATGGGTGGATGATGGATGGATGGATGGATGGATGGATGGATGGATGGATGACGGACGGATAGGTGGATAGATGGGTAGATGGATGGGTGGACAGACAGTTAGATGAATGAGTGGGTGGGTTGGATGAGTAGGTGGATGGATAGATTGATGAAAGGGAAGATGCGTGGACAGACAGACAGAAATAGAGATATGTAGATTGTTATTAAACATCCAAGTCATCTGGTTAACTACTTTTATGAATTGAATTGTGTCCCTCCAAAACTGTGTTGAATTCCTGGAGGAATTGAATACCTGTGGAGGAGCCCTGATAGCGCAGTGATTAAGAGCTATGGCTGCTAACCAAAAGATGGGCGGTTTGAATCCACCAGGTGCTCCTTGGAAACCCTATAGGGCAGTTCTACTCTGTCCTATAGGGTCACTATGAGTCGGAATATACTTGACAGCAAGGGATTTGGTTTTGGTTTGGTACCTGTGGATGTGACCCTGTTTGGAAATGGAGTTTTCTTTTGTTATGTTAATGAGGTCATGCTGGAGTAGGGTGGGTCCTAAACCTAACCCCTTCTGAGTTATAAAAAGACCAGAAAAGATACAGGTGTGCTTGTGCACATGCACACACGCACACACACACGGGAAGACAGATGCCATGTGAAGATCATCTACAAGCCAAGGAATCAAGGAACGCCCAGACTATACTGATAAAGAAGGAACTGACAGGGCTGAGACCCTGACTTGGACTGTTTCTATTCCTTAAAGCCACCCATGTGTGGTATTCCTGTTACAGCAGCACTAGGAAACCGAGACAACCACAAATGGAACACAAACACACCCAGGGTCTGAGGTCAGGAAGCCCAACATGCCTTGATAAAGCCCTGGGGTGACATGAATGCAGGAGAAGATGGCAGGTCCTGCTGCTGACCGACACCCAGGACAGACTTGGGCCCATCAGGAAGATCTGCCCGCCCTTTACCTCCCACCCTAGTCCTGCCCTGTGAAGAGGAAGAGAGGAAAACAGGGCCTTTGGGGCATCACGAAGGGACGACAGTGGGATCTCCCTGTGCCTCCTCACCAAGCACAGTGTCCCCTCTGACATGCTCTTCCACACTTGCCAACCCCCTCTGGTGCATCTTTGCCCCAGAGCTACAGGTATCCCCCAGGGGTGAGCAGTGGTTCTAAAAGCTCGGTCTCCTGCCTCCTGGACATACTTCCCCATCAAGGCACCCTGCAGGGGGTCTCTCTCCCTTACTTGATGTGGGTCGGTGGTATGCAGGCCAGCACACTCCCCACACATAGTAACATAATAACTGAGAAGAACAGTGCCCGGCCTGACTTCCCTGAAGAAAAGGACAGCAGCTCACTCACCAGCCGAGGACAGTGCCCAAAGCTGACCTCCCTGAAGAAAAGGACTAGCAGCTCGCTCTCCAGCTGAGAAGGAGATGGTCCCTCAAGCCCCAGAAAGGGAGGCCCTGACGCAGAGGGTTCAGGCTGCCAATAAGCAGGCACCATTACGTCTGCCATCTTGTTCTGCCTCAGTGAGGCTGGAAGGGGGCTGGGCTCTGTCCCTCGACCAGATGGGGCCTAAGGTCAGAGCACAAGTCACCGACGGCCACAGGGCGGCCCCAGAGGGACTGAGACGACCTGTAAAATGCCCCACCACCAGTCCTTCAAGAGCAGGAATGAGTAGCCCCTAAGCACCATAGCAACCTCATTGGTGATGCGAGAAAAACAGAGACACAAGAGCGGTCAAGGAAAGAACCCGCAGGAACGCCAAGTGTGTCCTTTCTTTCGCTTGTCTATGTTTGGTTCCTGAAGAGTCTCCACGATTGTGACTTTACCACACAGACACTCACACCTGCTGCCCTTCAGCTGATGCCCTAGCAAGAGTTAAACACAAACGTCCTTGCTGGCACATGTAGGGTGATGCGAGACCTGTGGGGAGCTGAGCTAGCTCACCCAAACCATATCTGTAGGTTGCCAAGAGATAAGAGTAAGTATTTTTCCAGTGAGGTGGTCTTAACTCTTCCTAAATCAAAGTTAAACAGAAACTCGAGTTAACTGAAGCATTGTAAGGAACAGTAACATTCTTCTGATGTCCTACATTTGATCAGAGGAACAGGATTTGAACCCAGCAGTGAGGAAGCCTCAGCGCATGAGGTCGCCCAGGATGGAGTGACAATGGACCTCAGAATGTCCCGGCAGTGAACTCCCAGCTGTGCATGTGCCCCATATTGCCACTTTGACCTCCCGGTGACCTCCGAGCACCCAGTGAGGTGCCACGGGCAGCTCACTTCCCAGGTGG